CTACATTTCTATGACCACTGGAATTGTCCTTCAAACACAAAGAAAAAATAATTTCTCAGACAAATAAGAATGGAGGATATTCATTGCCAGAAGACCTGCTCCACAAATAAGGTTAAGAAATTTATCAGGCAGCACCTCAGAGGCTGAGCCAGGAGCATTACAAGTTCAAAGCCAGCCTCCGCAACTTATTGAGGACCTACGCAACTTAGTGAGACCCTGTCTCAGTATAAAAAATAAAGGGCTGAGGATGTGCTCAGTCTTTAAGCATCCCTGGGTTCAGTCCCCAGTAAACTCTCCCCACACATACACAAAAAGAAATTCTTCAGGGAGAAGAAACAATAATATTGATTAGAAACTTACATCTAAATAAAGAAAAGTAGAGCACTGGAGTAGAAATAAATGAAGACATGCTTGCTAGTGCCCTCATCATTGTTCATCTCAGTGTGTTAACAACCATCCTCACATGTAATACTCAGGTACAGTTTAACCAAACCAGGAAGAGGGAATTTTCACTCTCTTGTTCTAAAACCACTATGCTACTAATGCATTCATCAAAATCACATGAGATGGCTGGGGATGTGGCTCGCCTGGCATGCGTGCGGCCTGGGTTTGATCCTCAGCACCACATACAAACAAAGACGTTGTGTCCACCGAAAACTAAAAAATAGATATTAAAAAAATTCTCTCTCTCACTCTCTAAAAAAAAAGCAGATGAGAATCTCATTTACAAGTGTGTTTTAAGTATATAATTTTTCTCTGTTCTTATAAGTGAATTACACCTCCTAGCCCTATAGAATTTGAATAATACAACAGAATTCACTTTAAAGTTCTCTCTCTCTCTCTCTCCCCCTCCCTCCCCCTCCCCCCCTCTTGGGGTGCTGTGGACTTTATTGCTGAGAAAGTGACAGTAGGGTTCCCTAAGGCCATCTGCTTCTTCAGGAGTCTGGGATGGATACTGGGAGGGGGGTGAGATTCTTAGTGTGATGAGGGATTGAGTTTTGTGGCAGGGTCTCCCCAGCAGCTGAGGGTCTCTCTTTTTCTCTCGTGTTCTTCCTGGGGTGGGTGGATCAGGGGCCTAACTCTTTGGATGCCACATAAACCATAAAGTCTCTCACTCTGTTGCTGTATCCAAATTCACCATAATACCAGAAAATGAACTTGACAAAGTGATTGTTGAGGGCAATACCAGCCCCAGGATTGAAGGTGGAAGAGTGGATATCACTGTTTAAGTCATATGAGAGAACCTGATCCTTAGTGTAACTCAGGATGCCCTTGAGGGGGCCCTCTGATGCCAGCTTCACCAACTCGTATTATTTATTTATTTATTTTTGGTACCAGGGATTGAAACCAGGGACGCTTAACCACTGAACCACATCCCCATCCCTTTTTATATTTTATTTAGAGGCAGGGTCTCACTAAGTTGCTTAGGGCCTCACTAAGTTGTTGAGGCTGGCTTTGAACATGTGGTCCTACTGCCTCAGCCACCCAAGCTTCTGGGATTACAAGCATGTGCCACCATGCCTGGCATTCACTACCTTCTTGATGTCATATTTGGCAGCTTTCTCCAGGTGGTAAGTCAGATTCATGAATGACATATTGGGGGTGGGCACAATGAAGGCTATGCCAGTGAGCTTCCTATTCAGTTCAGAAATAATGTTGCTCACGGCATTGGCAGTGTTAGTGGATGCAGGGATGATGTCCTGGGCAGCCCCACAGCCATCATGCCAGTTTCCTGGTGAGGCAGTCCACTGTCTGAGTGGCAGTGATAGCATGGACTCTGGGTATTAGTCCTTCCAGAATGCTAAAGTTGTCATGGGTGTCTTTGGCCAGGGGAGCTAAGCAGTTGGTGATGTGGGAGGCATTGCTGATGATCTTGAGGGAGTTCACACACATCACAAACATGGGGGCATAAGAAGAGGCAGAGATGATTGCCATTTTAGCACCACCCTTCAAATGAGCCCTGGCCTTTTCCATAGTAGTGAAGACACCATAGTGCACTCCATGGCATATTCAGCACCAGCACCACCCCTTTGATGTTGGCAGGAGCTTGCTCTTGGAAGATGGAGATGGACCTCCCATTGATTACAAGCTTCACATTCCTAGACTTGATTGTGACATTGAACTTTCCATGGATGGAATAATGCCAGAACACATAGACAATGTAGTTGAAGTCAATGAATGTGTCATTGATGACAACAATATCCACTTTAATAGAATTAAATATATATACCTGGTGACCAGGTACCCAATATGGTCAAATTCATTCAACCCTCACCACTGTGTCTCAGGAACACAACTGGCACTGCATGAGATGTGGCTGATTGTGAAACAGGGCCTCCCCAGAGATAATCACTTAGCAATTTGGTATAGACACATTCCACACATACATATGCACACATATGTAATGTATGTGTATATCTTTTTTTTTAAACAAAACATGATTACCATAAAAGGAATCATATGTATTACTTTACAACTTCCATTTTCACTTAACATTGGATCTGGAATTATTTCCATTTTGGCATATAGAGAGCTGCTTCACTCTTTCTGATATCACAATAAAGTAGAATAGAACTTTATCAAATAAGTGTACCAAACAAGTTTACTTTCCCTATTGATGGACATATAGATTATTTACAATTATTGTTATAAGAAATACTTCTAGTGAATGTCCTTGTACATACAGATTGAATATCCTTTATGCCTTATCCCTTATCCAAAATGCTTGGGACCGGAAGTATTTCAGACAGACTTTGAGGTTGCGCATATTCAATCTGAATTCTCCCATACTCCAAATACTAAGCTTGAGATACTTCAAACTTAAGTTTCTGATTTTGGAGCACTTCAGATTTTGGGATTAAAGATGCACAACCTTTAAACATTTCTGCTCCCAAGCATTTTGGTTAAGGAATGGATGCTCAGCTTACAAAATCAGTACCTTGAAAATCACATATACAGGTGTGTCAGATTGAGGGACTCCCAAAGGGAATACAAATTAACAAATAAAAGAATCATTAATTTTTGCTGCCTTTTTGTGTCTAATAATTTAAAATGGAGGTATTCTTAGTATTTCTAAAATGTGTGTGCTTCAGGAATTGACTCACAATCTCTGTACTTGCCTCTTGCTCCCTTTCTGCACTGAAAAGCTATGTAGGCAGAATCTCCTGGGTGACTGACTCTGGGCCAAGTGCTGGGTTTAACAGGCATCACAGATAAAGACATAGCTATAGAATATTAACATAGAGCTGAAAACAATAAAGAGTACTATGGAATTTTCATGACTCAATGGCACCTTAACTCCTTACCACTGTCTACTTAGAAGCTGAGGATAGAGTGGTGAAAAATACTGAAAAGGGAGCCCATCTTTCATGGAATATATACTCTTAATTCAAACACTCCACCTTTGGAGAGTGTCAAAATTGTATATAATCAGGAGGAAAAATGCACATGCATTTATTAAACAGGAAGCAGGGCTGAGAGAAAGGGGAAGTTGAGGAAAGGAGCTGAAATCTGTCTTGCGAATGTACATGGGTACTGGTCTCTTTCTCTAACAGAGCAATGTACAGGGATCCAGGAGTGGGGCACCAGGGTGAGGAGTGTATGGCTACCAGGGAGTCCTGGCGGAGCAGGCCTTGACTTGGACAGCTGTGGGATGACCTAATGGCCAAGTGAATTCCCATTTGAAGTGAGATACTACCAGTGTGGCAGAAGAGTAACTGTTGGCGCAGAGCAGTAATAGGTCACTTAGGGCAAAGGGTCTAGGTCAATCTTCCTTTGAAAAGGGCGCAGAGGTAAGGCCTTTAAAGGCAGCCCCACCTCAGTTTCCTAAGCAACAGGAGTTACTTTCCTCCCTTCCATGGCTCCAGGAAGCTGTAAAGGAAAAACATGGAGGAAGAGCCATCCCAGAGGCCCCTAGTCAGTCTGTAGTGAAGTCACCTGTCCGTCCCTTCCAGCCCCGCAGTCTGCAGTCCTGACACCCACTCCCCTGACCCTCTCGGAAGGAAAGGGAGTGGAAGGAGGGGGCAGGCACAGCGGGAAGGTTTTGTATTCATCCGCAGCTCCCGCCGGCGCGGCGCTTACCGACCTCCTGATACCATTCCCCACAGCCCCCAGCCGCCCGCCCTCTCGCCAGTCCCACCAGGAGTAGGTGCGCGGGAGACTGGGTGAGTCTGCACGCTAGGGTGTGCGGGGTCTTACTGAGGCTGCTGGTGCTAAGCCGCCCCTCAGACCCGGGCTCGCGCTGGCCCCGCCCACCTCTTGGTCGGAACTACGGTGGGCCTGGGAGGGGGCGTCGAGCCCATTCGCGCCATATCCCTCCGCCCCCCTTCCCGACACCCTCGAGGCGAGCAGTTCTTGCCGCATCCTGCGCAGCCCCTGCCCGGTTTGGTGCAGAGGCGTGGGGGCGGGACGCCTCTTGGCAATTCTGCTAGCACGGAAAGCGGTGGGAGTCCCAGTGTGGAGCTGCCAGAGGACAGGACCGAAAAGGAGAAGAGAGGAATCCCGATGTCCTGGGCCCTGAGCCTGTGAAGGCAAGTGCGGCACGCAGGAGTGATAGCTTGCCCACTCCAGACTCTGGCAGCCCGGCGAGGAGACAGCGAGTTGGCGGGAGCCGGTCCCTGAGAGGGGTGTGTGGAGCCTGGGGATCCCTGGTGAGGAAGCGGCGGTGACCCGCCTGGGTCGGGGCAGGGGGCGGGGTGTCCAGAGAGCCTCCAGAAGAGCTTCCAGAGGCCAACTGCAGCAGCTGCTTCTCAGACTTCCTTCCCGTCTTGACTTTGTCTGTGTCCGGTGAGAGCCCTGGGGGAAGCCTGTGAGGGAGAAATGGCTTGGGAGCTGGGGCGGGGGCCTGGGGGGCGCCCTGGAGGCCAAAGTGGGCGGGAACAGGAGTAGGGGCTGTTGTCCAAGCTCTGTCCAGCCCAGTTGGCTTAGCGGGAGGTTGGTCGCCTTTGTCACAACAGCGGGTTCCAGAAAGGGGCCTATTGGACCCTGAGTCCTGAGTCCTGGGTGCTGTCGCTTCCCACAGGCACCTGGTTGATGTGAAAGTCTCTCATGTGTGAGGTAGGTCTGGTGTGTTCTAGGAAATGGGAGCAGTGAGAGTTAAGAGGAAATTGAAATGAAATGTTCATCAGCCTTTAGTACAACACTGTCTTATTCCATTCTATATTTAGATTCCCATGCCCAATTTAGTACAACCAAATGGTCAAGATGGTAGAATTTCGTAGCAACAGGCCATGTAAATTAATGGTGTGGTGTTTATTTTGGCATACAAAATCTATTTTTCTTAAAATCCCGGTGCACTATAAATAATATTTTGATGTGTGAGAATAGCAGGTCAGAGTAAATGGGAAGTCTCTCTGAATGATATATTTAGAACATTTGAAGTCAGTCTGCTTCTTTGGTTTCTTTTTCTGGAAACCCAAACATCACCCATCACAGCCTCACATTCCCTCTCATTTTTTTTTTTAATACAGAAATAGTTCAACAGAAGGTTTTGTGATGTTTCTGAGAAATGGTGAGAATGCTAGACTTCATTTACTTTGTTCCTCGTGGTCAAAAAGGAGGTGTTCAAACTTGGATTCTGGAAATCTAACATGTTTTTCTACCATTGTTAACATATTGTCTTGATTGTTTACTGAATGTCTGCTTCTTTTTATAGGTACTGACTCTTCTGTAACCAGGGGACTCTTCTTTGGTGCCAAGGATAGCATTTCATGAGGACCCCTCCTTTGTGACCAGGCTGGCATAAATGAGGTAGGATCTATGTATGGGGATTGGCAGCATGCAAAGATGGCATTGAAATAATAATAATGCACATTAGTTTCCCTGCCTGCTTTCTAAACAGTTGTCTAAGTTCCACTACCTATTCCTGTACTTCATATTTTTGTTCAGGGAAAGAGGTGTATCCTTTGTGGGAAAATGACTGACTCCAGAGTTGAAAGGAAATATAATCAGATATACTACAGGTCTGGAGGGGTTTGGCTTGGGAATCTCTGGGGGGAGCAGACTAGTGGGAGACATTTGACATAGCCTTGAATATGCAAAAGCATGTTATAACCCCATCAAGTGTATTGTACCATCTCAGTCTCTTCTGTTTTTGGGTTTTTTTTTCTTCTATCTGTAGGTCTTTTCTTTCTAGATTCCTGTAGGGATCTGTAGGTAGCTGTTCACTTGGAAGGTAATTAAGAAAAAAGGAAAACTATTCATTTGGATCCAGGTTAGGTGTGAGTGCATGAATACCCCTGTTGATTGGGGTTAGGGGTGGCTTTTGGCAAGTGGTTGAGACCAGATCATGTCTTGGAGACATTGTCTTCCAACTTTCCCAACAACTTGGCCCTCACATTTGTGTACAGATAATGTGGGCAGGATAAGCCAAGGTTATACCTATAGGTAGGTAATTGGTTGATATTGGAACAGGAAATGGGGAGGGAAGCCATGAGGAAAACCAGGGTGGGGCAGAAGTGATATGTAAAAATCTCTACGTATTAAGATACCAAAGTGCAGTCAGTCTAGCAAATACTCACAATTGCAATACCACGTGTATTTTTGTCCATAGGTCTGTTTAAGGGTCAACTGTTGCTCCTATCAATACTGAAAGCAAGGAAGAAGGACAACATTGCATCAGAACAGTGCAGGTTGGTGTGAAACCTGTCTGTATGGACCTATAGTGTTTATTAGTATGTATCACTATGGCACCAAAGGGATTGGACACTCCTTATCCAATTCTACATTCAGCAAGCTTATCTACCACTATTGTTGTGTTTAATACAGTGGAAAAAAAAAGAATGTTAGTACTTGGGCAGGATGTTTTGGGCATTAGTGGGATGTACAAGGAATAAAATGAGTTAACAGAGTTTTCTTGTTTTTTTTAGTACTTTAACACTGAGCTATAGCCTCAGCACTTTTCATTTTTTATTTTGTGACATGGTCTCACTAAGTTGCTTGGGGTCATGCTTGACTGCTGAGGCTGGCCTCAAACTTGCGATCCTCCTGCCTCAGCTTCTGAGTCACTGGGATTACAGGTGTGAGCCATCATGCCCAGGTAGCAGAGTTTTTTACTAATCCACTTCTGCCATACAATCATCTCTACTATCGTGTTTTTCTATGTAACTATGTATAGAGAGGCAAAGTCGCAGGAGACTCAAAGCCCATTTTTTCTTCACCTCAGATTTCTCTCCAGTTGTGGCTGTGGTGGTCTCAAATTGGTAGAAGATCTTCACATTCAACAGGTCTGCATTCAGCAACCATCATCCTCCCCCAGCCCATGTATTCCTCTACTCTATCTGTATCATCGACAGAGGTTGTGTGCTTAGAAAGGGGACTGTGTGACTGCTAAACTGACAATTGACTCTTGCTACCAAGTTCATCTCTGACCCAATAAAAAAGAGTGTAGAGACACTGACCTGGGACACACTGAGAACGAAGGCTAGGACTGGACAAGACTGTATAACTGGTATTCAAGCATGCCTGGGACAAAGAATAAGGCTAAAGCCCAGGCCAAAACTGAAAAAAGAACAAATGTACAGGCTAAAGGTGGAGCAGAGAGGGAAGCTACTGGCACAGCCAAACCTGTAACCAAAGCAAAAGCCAAGGCACGGCCTAAAACAGATGCAGTTGCAGAGACAAAAGCAATATCTAAAAACAGGGTTGTTGCTGAGAATAAGGAAGGAGCCCTGTCAGAGCCTAAGGCTCCAGTGAAAGCCATGGCAAATATCAGTCCCAAGGCTGAGCATGAGGCTACCAGCTCCACATGTAAAGATAATGCCAGTGTTGATACCTGGTTCTGGGCTGGGGAAGAAGCCAGTATCAATTCTTGGTTTTGGAAGGGAGATGAAGCTAGTAATCGTACCAGTGCTAAAGATGAAAATAAAGCTCATGTTGGTGGCCAAGTTCGTCCTGAATTGGAGCCTACACCTGGGGTTAGCAGCAAGAATAGGTCAGGGGATGAGGAGGAAGAAGAAGAGAATGTTATTGGGAGCTGGTTTTGGGAAGGAGATGATGCTAGTTTTGACCCTAATCCTAAGCCTGTAAGCCGGATAGTTAGGCCTCAGCCTGTAGATGAAATTAATGAGAAAAATAGGCCAAAGGACTGGTCTGAGGTAACTATCTGGCCCAAAGCCCCTGCTGTAACTCCAGCAGTGTTAGGTTTTAGATCCCAGGTCCCATCTGAGCCAAAGCCTTCTTCATATATTGTCCTGGCCTCATCTGAGGAAGCTGCTCATTCTTCAGCTGCAGCAGCCTGCCCTTCTAGGAGTGCTCGCTCAAACTTACAGCCTATCCCTGAGTACCCATTTGGTTCTGACCCTTGCATTCAGACGATAGATGAAATCAGACGCCAAATCAAGATCAGAGAGGTAAATGGGATTAAGCCATTTGCTTGCCCTTGCAAAATGGAATGTTACATGGATTCTGAGGAATTTGAAAAGCTTATTGGCATACTTAAGTCAACTACTGATCCTCTCATTCATAAAATAGCACAGATTGCAATGGGTATCCATAATGTTCATCCATTTGCCCAAGAATTCATTAATGAAGTGGGCGTAGTGACACTTATTGAAAGCTTGCTCAGTTTTCCTTCCACAGAAATGAGAAAAAAGACTGTGATTACTCTGAATCCTCCTTCTGGGGATGAAAGACAACGCAAGTTGGAATTACATGTGAAACATATGTGTAAGGAAACCATGTCTTTCCCCTTGGACTCACCTGGACAGCAATCTGGATTAAAGATACTAGGGCAACTGACTACTGATACTATTCATCACTACATTGTTGCCAATTACTTTTCAGAGCTTTTCCATTTGCTATCCCAGGGAAATCGTAAAACTAGAAACCTTGTCTTGAAAGTACTTTTAAATATGTCTGAAAATCCAACTGCAGCCAGAGACATGATCAATATGAAGGCATTGGCAGCATTAAAACTCATTTTTAACCAGAATGAGGCAAAAGCCAACCTCGTTAGTGCTGTGGCCATATTTATTAACATAAAGGAGCATATCAGAAAGGGCTCAATTGTAGTTGTTGATCATATGAGTTATAATACACTTACGGCCATTTTCCGTGACGTTAAGGGGATTATTCAAGCAATGTAAAATGAGCCAAAAAGAAGAGAACAGTCACTGAACAATCTTCAAATTCTGACAGGCTGTACATTCCCAAAGAACCTTGCATAATGTTTTGGTTGTTAGAGTGTGCACAAAATATACATTGCTTCTTTAACATAATGATACCTGTGATAGGCTCTAGCTCAGAGCTAGTGTTTTGGTGTATCAAATGAATATTAAATCTAGAGGTCAAATGTTTGTTGATGTCTATCTTGTCTAGACTGGCAGATTTTTAACGTTTTACTTAATAAGATAGTGAATCAGTTCATTATACATAAGCTAGCTTGATCATTGGTATTTTCTTAGGTCCATTTGTAGCTTGAAATGGCAAAAAAGAATATTATTATCTAGTTACAGTAATATGGCATATATACACAAAAAGGTAACCAGTAATACTTATAGCATATATATGTGTGTGTGTGTGTGTGTGTGTACACACACACACCCACACACCCACACACACCCACATATGCTCATTGCCAAATATGACTTCTCAATATATAAAGGAGGCAGGTGTTCTTACAACTGTTTAAGAGAAATGTCTATTTTTCCCCTATTCCAGCTATATCAGACACTCATTCTATAATATAGAAATGGCCCTGCATTCCAGATAAAATGTAATGTTTGTTCATTTTTTTTATTTTGCTACTACATTTATAACTCTTAAATCATTAGGCTATTTCATTTATGTCAGATACATCTCACAGAAGAAAAGGGAGGTATGAGTGGGGAGAAAATACTTATTGAGTGCCTACTGTGTCAGACACTGTATTGACACTATATTTTACAAAAATTTTCCCTCCTTTTGCAGTGATCCCATGAACTAGATATTTATGTTATAATTAAAGCTTATTATTCTGGATACCCTCCAATGAATGAGAACATTTCCTAGATTCCCACAGCAGGCAGGTGGCATTGCTCTTCCTACACCAGACCCCATCTTTCCACACGACCTTACAGTCCTTCACTTTTTTAGGTGGTGGCTTTCAAAGCTCAGAGACTGGTTGTAATTGTTTAATTTTGCAGTGGATTATGTCACTTCTATGGGTAGACAAATGCACTTATCACTAGGCATTTGGCTATACCTGGCTGGAGGTTAAGAGGAAGGTCTGAGATGAATATATATTTTTTATCCAGCAGCATCTGGGAAATAGTAGGTGTTGAATGAATAAGATGTGGGTGTGGAGTTGTCAGAAATTGAAAGTTCTTATATACCCTGTCTTTTTCTATTAATGTGTCCTCTTTTCAAAAAGAGAGAAATCATTCTGAATATTTCGCACTCTGCATTTGAAAAGGTAGTTGCTTTCTTTCTCTTTGCAAAATCATACCTTAACTTTTTAGCATTTATGGTTTATTCTCCTATGTGTCATATGAAAGGCTAAATGCTGTATCTTTTACTAGTTGGCAAGTGCATTTTCTGCATTTGTACTAGCTGAAACTGAGAATAAAATTAATTGGAGAAATTTACATCCAGAGCTGCAGCTTCAATAATACAAAATAGGAAAGCAAGAGTGGCACTACTGTCTCAACATACAAGACAGTGATTCCTGGAAGTCCACATGGTCTTGAAAGTATCTCAAGATTTCAGGCTATGGTTGAATTCTTTAAGACTCATGGTAATGATTACAGACCCTGGTCTAAGTTGTAGAGAAAGTTATTATGCAATGAAACCATCCAGTGATTTGAGATTTGGGGGCAGTTAAGAAACTCAAGACCACACTTTAAATATTATTTGTAACTTGTATCCTCACAACTAACTGTATATTGTGAATGTATTTTTTGTGTCAATAAATATGATTCTACAGAATATTTTTGAATCATGTAATATTTTTCCTGTTAACAGTTGATGTAGTTTTATGATATTTTATTGTATATTAACATACAATATGCACAAATTTATTATTTTGCAAAAATAGTATTCAGCAACTCACCCTTTTATCTTAACAGTTATTTTTCCAGTTCAGTATTATACAGATCTATGCAGATCTACCACATGCTTTTTGTTTAATAGCTTTATTGAGATATAGTTGACATACATTACACTGCATATTTCAAGTGTACAATTTCAGATAATTACATATTCATATATATGTTCATATATATGTGTATATATATATATACACACACATATATGTTTGTGTGTGTGTGTGTGTGTGTGTATACCATAACAACAATCAAAATAGTGAAAATATCCAAAAGCTTCTTTGTGCCTTTTTGTAATCTCTCCGACCCTGTGTCCCTCTGTCCCCAGGCAACTACTGATCTGCTTTCTAACAAAATAGAATCATTTTCTGTAATCATATACAAGTAGAATTATACAGCACATTCTCTTTTGGAAGGGGGGAGCCTGGCTTCTTTCACTTAGCATAATTGTATGAGTTTCATTCATGTCATCTATCTCAGTAGTTCATTAATTTTTTTTTTTTATAAGTAGTAGTCTATGGCTTTTTTCAGTTTTTTTTTTTTTTGTCCATTCAACTGTTGACATTTGGGCTCAGATTTTGGTTATTACAAATAAAGTTGCTGTGATAATTAATGTACTTGTGTTTCTATGCACATATGTTCTGGATTAATAAATACTTAGGAGTGAGTGGAATGGCTGGATCATATGGTAGTTACATGTGTAATATTTACATTTTTCAAAGTGATTATGCAATTTTTTAAAAAGTATTTTTTTGTAGTTGGACAGTATCATTTTATTTATTTTTTAAATATTTATTTTTTAGTTTAAGGTGGACACAATATATATATTTTTTTGTGGTGCTAAGGATCAAACCCAGTGCCTCATGCAAACTAGGCAAGCACTCTACCCCTGAGCCACAACCCAGCCCTATTTATTTTTATGTGGTGCTGAGCATTGTGCTAGGCAAATGCTCTATCGCTCAGCCCCAGCTCCAACCCTGATAATGTAATTTTACAACTCCATAGTGGTATGTAAGAATTGTGATTGTACAATTTTACATTCCCACAGCAGTGTATGGAGTTATGATTCCTCTACATCATTGCTAGTAGTTGGTATGGTCAGTCTTTTTAATGTTATTCATATCATAGTAGTTGTAATTAGCATTTCTCTGATGACTGAAGATGTTGAATGGTGTGTGTGTGTGTGTGTGTGTGTGTGTGTGTGAGAGAGAGAGAGAGAGAGAGAGAGATAGAGAGAGAGAGAGAGAGATACTGGGGATTGAACCCAGGTCCTTATACAGGCTGGGTAAATGCTATACCATTTACCTTTTTAAATTTTTATTTTAAGAAAGGGTCTTGCTAAGTTGCCCAGACTGGCCTTCAACTTGGGATTCTCTTTCCTCAGCCTCCCAAAGTAGCTGGAATTATAGGTGTCAGCCAGCTTGAATATCTTTCCATATGCATATTTACCATCCATATATCTTCAATGAAATATGTGTAAATCTTTCCCAATTTTAAAATTTATTCTTAATTGCTGCATTATAGTTATTCATAAGAGTGGAATTCATCATGATATATTCATATATATACCTAATATCCTTTGGTTGATTTCATTCTGCAGTTCCTCCCCGTTCTCATCCCTTGACTCTTTCCCCTTGTTCTCCTTTCTTTTCTCTACTATTCTCTTTTCTATTTTCATGAGATCTTACTCCTTTATAAATTCCTTATTACTCTCTAGCTTCTGCACATGAGAAAACATTTGACCCTTGACTTTCTGAGTATGGATTATGTCACTCAGCAAGATACTCTCCAGTTCCATCCATTTACCAGAAAATGAAATAATTGCATTTTTTAAGGCTGAGTAAAACCCCATTGTGTATATATACCACGTTTTCTTTATCTAATCATTAATTGAGGGACACCTAGACTTGTTTCATAACTTGGATGTTGTGAATTGTGGTGCTATAACATTGTTATGCATGAATTGCTGTAGTATACTGATTTTAGTACTTTTCTATAAATACTTAGGAGTGAAATCACTGGGTCATATGGTGGTTTCATTCCTAGTCTTTTGAGAAATCTTCATAGTGCTTTCCAAAGTGTTTGTATTGATTTGCAGTCCTACAGACAATGTATAAGTGTACATTTTCCCACATATCCTCACCAGCATTTATTACTATTTGTATTCTGATGATTGCCTTTCTAACTGCAAACTTCTGTTTTTCAAAGATCCGGTTGTTGATTTATTTATTTATTTATTTTGGTGCTGGGGATTTAACCCAGGTCCTTGTGCATGCAAGACAAGCACTCTACCAACTGAGCTGTATCTCCAGCCCCCATGACTTTTTTTTAAATATGAAGTGGATATAAGTGCATTATCAGGTATATGTTTTATAAATATTTTCTCCCAATCTGTGGAATTTCTATTCTTTTAAAGATGTCTTGAAGAGCAGAGTTTTAAAATTTGTGATTAATAGCAATTCTTTCACCAGCTAGGCTTTAGTGTTATCTATAAGACATCTCTGCCTAAACAAGGTCACAAATACTTTACCCTTTATTCTAAAATTTTTATTGTTTCTCTAGGTTTCAAGGCCAGGGATGTGTAATACATTATGAGTTAAGTTTTATATGTGGTATAAGTGATAGGTCAGAATTCTTTTTTGTGTGTCATTGCAATATCCAGTTTTTTCATTACCATTTTCTGACAAGAGTTGTCTTTCTTCACTTGAGTTGTCTTGGTGTCTTCATCAAGACTCAGTTTTCCCAATCTTGTTTATCTTTTCAAAGAACCAACTCCTTGTAACATTGATCATTTATGTTATTTTTCTATTCTATTTAATTAATTTTGGTTCATGTCTTCTACCAGTTTTTTTGTTAGTGTATTATAATTATACATAAAAGTGGGGGATCATTGTGACAAATTCATATATACACATAACATAATTTACTCCAACTAATCCCCTAGTATTTCTTCTTTCCCTCCCCATTTTCCACTCTCTGTTCCTCTGGAATTCCTTTTATTTATTTATTTATTTATTTACATGTATTTTTATTGGTACATTATACATAGAAGTAGGATTCATTCT